CGGAACATGTTCTTCCCGCCCGGTAAAGGCATTCACAAGGACGGCGCTGGATGTCGCCTCCCTGCCACCCACCTACCCAAAAAAGCCAGCGTCTTCTCAGCAAACTGCCACCCACACCTGGTCCCACGCGTGTGTGTGTGTGTGTGTGTGTGTATATATATATAGAGAGAGAGAGAGAGAGAGATAGATATATACACACACACACACATACATACACGTGGGACCAGGTGTATGTATGTATGTATGTATGTATCTACCTACCTACTTACCTACCTACCTAATATATCTCTATATCCCCGAAGCCGCGGTCGCCCGCCCTTCTCCCGGTTTGCAAGGAAAGCTATCGGGCACCTCGCCCTCAGGCCTCCCCACGTTCCCCGCTCACCTGCGAAGGAAACCGAGCGGCCGCGGCGCTTGGGAGGGCTTCGGCGCGAACCGCAAGAACTCGTCCGCGCGCCCTCGGAGTGGCGAAGGCAGCAGCTCGAGACTGGCTAAACCAGGCCCTCTCTCTCTCTCTCTCTTTGGAAGGGCTGAGCTGAGGCCGGCCGTGCCACCTCCCTCCTGCTCCTCCTCTTCACGGGGCCGCAGCCTCCACGATGAGGCCGCCCATGAGACGCGCTGCGGCGTGAACCGGGGACGGCTGCCCGCCTGGCACCGCTAGGGAGAGGCCGCGCTCTGCGCTTCGTTCCCTGGCGCGCGAATTCTCTCCCTGCCCGCTGCCCCCCGCCCCCCCCCCGACTCCCGCGCGCTCACCCTTCGCCCCACAGGCGTCTAAAAGTGGTTTGGTGGGACTTGGGAACGCTGGAGGGATTTTGGCAATCGTGACGGGAAGCTTCTTCGTGTTGGCGAAAATAATGGCCCGCCGCCTTTTTGGATTTTCGGGCAGAGCATAATAATCCTGCGTGAGGGGGCTTGCCTAATGAGCCAAACGAAGGATATACAGATCTTCCTCCGAATAAAAACACACAGCTTTCCGTGTAGGGTACAGATGGATGTAGGCCAATCAAAAAGGGGATGTAAAAAGCTAAAAATACTAGGAAAGTGGGGCTTAAAAGTCAGACTTGGCTCAGATGCATCCTCTTGTACGTCCTCTTTCGCTTGTGTTCAATGTTTGTGGTCAAGCAGATGGAAGATACTAATAAGGGAGGATATTAGTAGCTCAAGAGTTGACATACGGGATGCTTGGTGCTCTGTGAGCTGGCTTGTTTTCTTGCAAACGTTTCATTACCCAAACTAGTTAATACAATCAGTGCTGGTGCTGGCGCTGGCTAGCCAGCACTGATTATATCATCTAGTTTGGGTAATGAAACAAGAAAACAAGGAAGAGAGCACTAAGGACCCCTCAGACATAGCAAGTTGCAAATGACTACATCGAAGAAAGAAATAATATATTTATGCAAAGACATCAAAATGCAAAACTTCCATTCCTTCTGATCTTTTTGGTGTGCATTTCACATTTTTATTAACTGGAAATGAAAAGCACGTCAAATCAATTATCCATCATTTTATATATATTGAATAATAAATAGCAAAGATCATCACAGTGCATAACGCTGATGTCGTCCACTTATGTCATTCCTCTGCCCACTCCTATTTTTCTTGCTTTTTAAGACAAGAAGAAGATATTTTCCTTGAAACAACAGTAATTGGTTTCCCCATATCAAGAGGGAAATAAAATTCAATTTGGAAGTATTCAGAGACATCCCTTCAGCAGACGATGCTTCCCAAGCTTTGCTGCTTTGAATGACAAACACAAATCAGTGAATTAAGACCAGCTGTTTACTCTTGCTCTGCCAGCCCTACAATGGTTGCAGTGGGCCTTCAGTTGAGAGAAAAACAAATCCTATAATTAGGCAGAGGAAAGCAGCTGATCCTGAGCTCAAGGAAAGGATGCAAAAATTTATTATTGTAATTCACATTTTTTTTACAGCCAAACATTTGCTGCTTATACTTTGGATTGCAAAATGCCCTGGGTTAACCTCGCCTCCATAATAAGCAATTGATTAATTCATTGATGAATTCATTTGTAACATTGGATAAAATCATTCTGGACACTGAAGTATGGTGGAACGGAGAAGGTTTCTTAGGAACCAGATTTCTGCAAATCCATATCTCTTTCCAGTTGCCACATCAAATGTATGGCACCTAGGTTCCTCATTATTCTGAGAAATCTTGCCACCATCTGGTCTTCTATGCAAAATGGGTTATCTCAAAATTGGGGAAGGGGGAATTTCCAGCAAAAAAAAAAAGAAAAGCTTGATATAATTACCATTTTAAACAAAATGCCACTTTCCTTGTTACATTTATAAGAATAACAAAACCTTAAATCCATTATTCTAAATATTGATCACATTTAATAAATCTCTGAAAGTACTGTATATGGTATTATATAGAACTGGGATGGGGAACCTATGACACACGTGCTGGAAGTGGCACGCAGAGCCATTTCTGCTAGCACGCAAGAGGTTGCCCAGAAGAGCCCCACTGAGCATGCGCACGCACCCCCCACCAGCCAGCTGATTGTCAAATATCTGCTGCGCATGCACGGGGGAGACGCGTGTGCGGGAGATGCGTGCACATGCACAAGAGGCAGGGCACAAGGGGGTCATGCACATGCGCAGAGGCATGTGACATGGGTCGCGTGCTGTGCGCACACGGGGTTATACATGCCTGCACGGGGGGGTTGCATGCGCTTTGCATCATGAGTGCAGGCATGCAAGCATGTGCATGCATGCTCATGCACACACACTTTCAGCACGCAACGTGGAAAAGGTTAGCCATCACTGATATAGAACATAGAATCATATGTCTGAAAGGGACCTCAGGGTTCTTCTAGTCCAGCTGTGGCCCACTGGTGGGCCATGAGAAAATTTTGGTGGGCTGCAGCGAAATCTCACCCCCCGAGCACTCCCCTCAAAAGCAATTAATCCAGGCTGCACAGAAACACAAGGCTGCGCCACCCACAAGGCCTGTGGGAACCCGCCCCGCCCACTCACTCCTTACCTGGTAAAGTTGCCTGCTAAATTTCTGTTTTTCCTTTTTCTGGCCATCATCTGTTCTGCTGTGCCAGGAGATTTAGATTAGCTAGGAAGCAGGAAATAGTTGGATTTCTTGCTTTCTAGCTCGACTTTAGATCTTCGGCTCTGCTTTTAAGCACAGCTGAACCTCCCTTAGGACTGAAGGTTTGCTTGCAAGCAAATTCAGTGCAGACTCATGGCAAGCAAATTTGAGAGGCTGAGCTAGCCAATGGCAGATAGATAGATCACTGAATGACTCTGTGAGCAATTCAATCTGCCTGCCTACTTTGCCTGATTTTGGGTAAAAGTTGCTCTTTTTTAAAATAAAAAAAATCAATATTTACATGCATGGTATGTTGTGAGTTAATTTTATGGGTTTGCTTGCAAGCAAATTTTATGTGACAGACTGAGCTAGACAATGGCAAATAGATAGATTTGTCACGCTAGTATTTCCTACCTCTTAGCACTGATTTTTTTAGCTGCCTTTCTGAGGGGCATGTGACCTTTCCTTAAATCTGGCTTATTTACTTAGGATATCTTGTGAGGTGAGTGAGACCAGCTGGTATCTGTAAGTGGTGCAAATGGATCTAAAGATTGCTTTTCCTGGGTGTGCTTTTTCTGGAGAGCTTAAATGACCTCTCTGCTAAAGGGTTTCACTTTAGGAGCAAGAGATGGCTGCTTGATAGTTAACACTGCATTTTAACTATTTTCATTCCTCAAGGCGCTCTGGCACCCTGCCTGATTTGTAACTCTGGCTTGCAGATATTTTTATTCTAATGATTGGTATTTAGGGCAGCTTTTTGCAAGCAAAGAAGCTTTTTGTATTTTTGTATTCTTGACTTACAACAGTTCATTAATGACCAAAGTTACAATGGCACTGAAAAAAGTGATTTATTACCATTTTTCACATTTATGACCGTTGCAGCATCCCCACTGTCATGAGAGGCCAGGTGAGGAGAAGCGCCCTTTGACATGAGTGATGTTGACTTGGTCATGCCCACCCCGTCACATGACCAAGCCACACCCACCAACTAAGCCACGCCCACAGAACTGGTTGTTAAAAACACTGAATCCCACCCTTGGTTAAAGACTTCTTTCCACTCCACTGGTTTGTAAGGAATGTATTGAGCCAACTAGATATTGTCTTTGTTTTAAATTCTTTGTTTTTCTATATCCTTTTAAACATGAGATAGTATGTTTAAATTTATCAAAAGCTTAGCCACTTTAAGCACATAGTGTTTCTTCTGGCAGAATCTCTCCCAGATACTAAATAATTCATATCCCTTTTATTGGCTAGCTTGTCCCCCCCCCATTCAGGAGATTTTAGAGCATTTAAGTGCTCAAATAGTGGGCATGGAGATATTCTTGGGAACAGAATGTCCTCATTTTCAGTTTTCCCTCCTTCATTCAACAGAGAAGAAAAAGAAGGGATGAGGCAGATGCTTGCTAAAAATATCTCATTCTTAATACTCATAAAATTCAAGTATTTTCATTCTGCTACTATTCAAGCAATCATAATTTAGTTTCTCTTTATGTCCTATATTTTAAATAATTCCTTCAAAATACATAACAATAATTCACTTATTGTTTTCATCACAGTCTGTTTTCAGTTGTAGAAATAATAAACAGATTGAAAGCAAACTGAGTATCAGTAATTTATTCAAATGATGTTAACTTGCTAGATTGGGGATTTAGAAAACAAACATACCAATCCTTTTTTCCCCCTCCTGTTCAATTTTGTTTGATTCTCAGACACATCTTGCACAAGTCCCTGCAGTTCTCAGAATATATATGCACTGAATCTTGTAATTCTCCATCATTATGCAGTAAGCTGATAACAAGGAGCAGTTGTATGTTTGAGCTAGGGGTCTGATATGCTATGAATTGCTATCACTGTCGCTTAGCAGAAGGCCCAACTGAAATGTACTGTAAATGTTTGTATGCTCAATAAAAATACATAGAACTGCAGTCTTTGATTTAAAAAGCCCTATCCTTTTTAAATCAAAGGATTTTCCCATTCAAATTTTTCTTTTATTTTTTTTAAAATGTAAACTTGGTTTATTTGATCAAAGTTAAAATAGATCTGTTATCTCCCATAACCTTTAATGGCTAGGGGCTATTTTTTTTTTTTTTTGCAACATATGGATTTTTAAAAAAAAATAAACCATTTTTCTTATATCCAACATCATTTCCATTCATTACAATGCTTCCATGACGGTATACATACTTTTACATAAATCTTAATTATCTGTACATTTATCTATATTCCTTCATCTATCTTTGTTCACTATAACCTTTGCCTTATTCAGTAGAGGGATTCAAATATTGTTGCCACCGGTTTGGTGTGGCTTGGTGGGCATGCTTTGTGCACGTGCGTATACTTTGCATGTATGCACGTGCCAACCACACACTTTGCACAGGCATATTGGCATTCTAACTCGCCTACTGCAAGCCTGCATGATCCCAGTCGCTTTAGTAGCTGTCGCGCAGCAC